ACAAATACAACTTAATGGTTTAACAGTACAAAATGTGGACCATTTCCGCTCCCTTGGCAGCCACCTCTCCATCAAAGTCAACATTGACATTGAAATACAACACCGCTTGAGCTCTGCGAGTGCAGCATTTTTTCCGAATGAAGCAGAGAGTGTTTGAGGACCGGGACATCCGTAGGGATACCAAGGTGCTTGTTTATAAAGCTATTGTCCTCCCAACCCTGCTATATGCCTGCGAAACGTGGACTATCTACAGACATCAACTTTGACACTGAAATATAACACCACTAGAGCTCTGCAAGTGCAGCGTGTTTCCGAATGAAGCAGAGAGTGTTTGAGGACTGGGACATCCATAGGGAGACCAAGGTGCTTGTTTATAAAGCTATTGTCCTCCCAACCCTGCTATACGCCTGCGAGACGTGGACTGGCTACAGACGTCAACATTGACACTGAAATAAACACTGCCTGAACGCTGCGAGTGCAGCTTTTTTCCAAGTGAAGCAGAGAGTGTTTAAAGACCAGGACATCCGTAGGGATACCAAGGTGCTTGTTTATAAAGCTATTGTCCTCCCAACCCTGCTATATACCTGCGAGATGTGGACTGTCTACAGACGTCAACATTGACACTGAAATATAACACCACTTAAGCTCTGCAAGTGCAGCATGTTTCTGAATGAAGCAGAGAGTGTTTGAGGACTGGGACATCCGTAGGGAGACCAAGGTGCTTGTTTATAAAGCTATTGTCCTCCCAACTCTGCTATACGCCTGCGAGACGTGGACTGTCTACAGAAGTCAACATTGACACTGAAAGATAACACTGCTTAAGCTCTGTGAGTGCAGCCTGTTTCCGAATGAAGCAGAGTGTTTGAGGACCAGGACATCTGTAGGGATACCAGGGTGCTTGTTAATAAAGCTATTGTCCTCCCAATCTTGCTCTCCGTCTGTGAGACATGGACTGTCTACAGACGTTACATGCAACTCCTAGAATGATTCCATCAGCACTGCCTCTGAAAAATCCTGCAAATCTCTTGGGAAGACAAGTGGACAAATGTCAGCGTGCTGGAAGAAGCAAAGACCACCAGCACTGAACAATGGTCTTCCGCCATCAACTCAGCTGGACCGACCACGTTGTGTGGATGCCTGACCACTGTTTCCCAAAGCAGTTGCTCTACTACGAACGGAAAACGGAATGTTGGTGGGCAGGAAAAGAGATTGAAAGATAGGCTCAAGGTGAATCTTAAAAACTCTGGCATAGAGACTGAGAACTGGGAAGCCCTGGCCTTTGAGCGCTCCAGGAGGAGGTCAGCTGTGACCAGAAGTGCTGCAGAATTCGAAGAGGTACGAATGAAGGGTGAAAGAGAGAAATGTGCCAAGAGGAAAGCACGTCAAGCCAACTCCGACTGGGACCGCCTTCCACCTGGAAACTGCGGGAGAAGATGCAAGTCAAGAATTGGGCTCCACAGTCACCTACGGGCCCACCGCCAGGATACTACACTTGGAGAACCATCATCCTCAGACTATGAGGGATCGCCTACGTAAGCAAAGTAAGTATATTAATACTGACAGGGATAAAAAAGGGGAATGTCCATTTGCAGGAACCCCTCTTTCACCCTTTCGGGAGTCTCCCTCCCCCACTTTTCCAGGATTAAAGATTCCCTTTGCTTTCTTTCTTTCGCAAGGCCTCTCTTATTACAGGAAAAGCCAGAGCGCTGACTTCACCCGAGAGGAATGGTGTTAACATTTGGACAAGCTTTCTTTTTTCGCTCTGGAAAGAGAAAGGGAAAAGCAGCTGTGCTAAAAGCGTTCAGGAAAAACACCGGGCTCCGGGAAGACCCTGCTCGATCCCAGGCCAAAGGAAGCCATTGTCTGAGAGAAGATAAGCTTGGGAAGAAGTCAATAAAATCTCGCAAACCAATGCTGGGAGGCTGATTCCGGAAGAGGAAAGTTCAACATTCTTGGAGAGCATTGATTCCCATGCCAGGACCCCCCCCCCCCCCTCGGTTATTTCCCAGTAAAGCCAACCAAGGCTAAGGAATCAATTTAAACCCATCCCCACAGGGATCGGTTGAATCGATTGCGGAACTCAGTTGAGCAAAGCTTTCCACTTCCGGTTTTCTAGCTCTTGTTGATTATTTCACGTTTGGCTTTTCAGCCTGCTCTTCTTCAAAAACCACACACACACACACACAAACCAAACCCCTTCCTTTCTCAGTTCACGAGACCAACAATCAGTGCTAAACAATTAAACATGGGAACAAAATAATCTACTATGTGAATGTACAGTGTTCCCTTGCTACTTTGCAGTTCATTTTTCGCGGGCTTTTGCCTCCCAGTTTATGTGGGGTAGGCCTTAATCCAGTTGTTCTCAACCTGGGGGTCGGAAACCATCATTGTTTGAGTTCACAGTGATCTCTGTATGTGGGTGAACTATAACTTCAAAACCAAAGGACACTGCCCACCAAACCCTTCCAGTATTTTCTGTTGGTCATGGGAGAACTGTGTGCCAAGTTTGGTACAATTCCATTGTTGGTGGGGTTCAGAATGATCTTTGATTGTAGGTGAACTATAAATCCCAGCAACTACAACTTCCAAATGACAAAATCAATTTTTGAGTGATGGTCACTTCTTGGGTTAGATGTCTTGTGTCCAAATTTGGTGTCAATTCGTCCAGTGGTTTTTGAGTTCTGCTAATCCCACAAACGAACATTACAATTTTATTTATATAGACTAGCTGTACCCGCCACGTATTCCTGTGGCCAACCTTTCGTCCCTCCTTCTCTCGGAAAAGAAGCCTGGATAACAGTAGGGCAAACCTCCACTGTGGGAGTGTATTCCAGGGAAGCAGCCATCTTGAGTGAAGATCGCTAGAAAATGGGAGGAGTTTGAGGTCTCCTGGGATTGGCTAGAGCGGATGGGAGGAGCCAAGCCTTAGGAGGGAAAAAGATTTCAGCTTCGGTGAAGATGAGAATTGTGAGCTGGTGGAAGAAGTAGTGTTTTTGGAAACTGGGTTTTCAGAGAGTGTGTGTCTGTGTCAGGCAGGGCTGATTAGCTGACAGGAAAGGTCTGACAGTTACCTGATTTCTTGTGGGAGATAGTATAAGGGATTTGCTCTCTAGACTGAGTTAGTCAGCTGAAAGAACTCTGGGAAGGTTTAGCTGATAACTCAGGGGACTGCCTAGGTTAGGTTAGTCAGTAACTCACTGCTATTTCTCTGAAGTAGAGTGAGGGATTTTTTGTAACCAGCAGCTATATCTGTTTAATTAGCTCTGTATGTAACTAAGTGAAGAAACTCTTTTCAAGCAACTATCAAGCTATAGTACACTTTTGTAACAAATCAAGCATTTTGTGCCTCTCAGAAAAAGAAGTTAGTTGTCTGTTGTTTTTATAAATACATCTTTTTCTATTTAACTTTCAAAAAGGGCTCTATTGTTCCTCAATCTATCAGTAATCCTTTGTGATAATTCTAGTATCTTTAACATCCTAAAGGTCTCTTATCCAAACAGTCATTTTGGGAGCTAAGGGAAGAGCTGTGTTGGCAGAGAAGGAAAAAGTTTACCTCAAAGACTCATTTTAAAAATCCTAAAACAGATTGGGTTGGTGGCAGCATTAAACCAAAAGAAGACTGAAGCAGTGTTCACTCTACCATTACACATATCTATATAATATCATCTCGCTACCACACTAGTGTCCAATAGTGTGATATTACATATTATCCTTTACAGTGGTGTTCAACTGTGGGATATGTTATAGTACATACTTTATACAGGTGAGATACTTGGTGTTAGATCACTACGCATTTCTTTATACCCTTCTGCAGGCTGAAGTTTGTAATTTGAGCAGATCATTTACCTCTGTCTAGACAAGGATACTATGGCGGGGAAGTTCAAAAGTAGCGAACCGGAGAAAGATGGATCTAGATTCACAGGGGGTTGCGTCTTTGCTCAGTTTGTTCCAGTTATCCCTAAAAGCAAATGTCTTTGTGAGCTTTCGCCAAGTGCAATTCAACAAAAGGGTTTATGAAAAGCTGAGACCTCCATTTGAAAAGTACAAGCAAACAAAGGGTTTGGATTTTAACAGTTATTTATCTGGAGCAACTCTTCCTCATTTGACAAAGATTTCCTGTTATGAGGGAAGCTGGCCCAGAGATTGCTGGGAAACCACTTTTGATACACACTGCATCCATGCCTCAAAATGGACATTTGCAAAATGGCAGATTTGCATTACTTCCAGGGAAAAGCTTTGCACAATGTTAGGCGGCACCCAAGTAAACAAACACAAGTTTGTGCCTCCCACAATCTTGAAAATGATCTTACAAGTTTAACTAGAGAAAAAATCCACTTAAAATCTGGTTTCTGCCTCTTGCAGAATTCTGGGGTTTCTAGTTTAGTGAGGCTGTTAAAGGCTCCTCCCTAAACTATAAACCCCACAATTCTGCAGGATGCAGAAACCAGCTTTTAAGTTGATTTTTTCTCAAGTCCGAACGTATTCTCCCCTATGAAACATCAAGATTGTTAAGATCGTCTGGAGGGGCCCTGCTCTCGTTCCCACCAGCCTCACAAGCGCGTCTGGTGGGGACGAGGGACAGGGCCTTCTCGGTGGTGGCCCCTCGGCTCTGGAACTCTCTCCCACTGGAGATCAGAACTGCGCCTTCTATCTTGACGTTCAGAAAACAGGTGAAAACCTGGCTCTGGAAATTGGCATTCGACGAGTGAATCAATATTCTGTGATATGGATGGATGATGACGAACAACGATTTTATTGTGACGACTGACCATTGTAATTATGACTGTATTTTGCTATTTTAATGTTTTTAGTCTAATATGCAATATGTTTTTAATGAATGTTTGTGATATTACTGTTGGAAACCGGCCTGAGTCCCTCGATGGAGGTGAGAAGACCGATATACAAAACTGCTAAATAAATAAATAAATAGTATGATGAAGCAGTAAAGCAATATTGGCTCATACTACCCAAAACAAAACACTTAAGATACACACCAACTCTTTGCAAAAAACAGTGTTGGTTTTTTAATATATCGCATCATGGACATTTGCAAGTGGAATGTTTCCTCTTTCACCGCCTCTTTATTCTTAACTTATACAGGAGAAAATAAAATTGTAGGCCTAGGTCAAAACACGGCTACTGAAATGAATGGAACTTGTTAGCTAGAACAACCAGTCATGTTACATGAAATATGCAGAGCTAATCCCACACATTACAGAGAAGGAAAACGACATGGGAACCAGAAGGGTATAAGTCAAGGAGGGAATAAGGAACCAAATATTAAGCAACACTGGCTATTGATCACGACTGCTTGAGGCTGATAGGATGCTGAAGCCCATAAATGTCTGGAGGACCACGGTTTTTCCGTTCCTGGGACAAGGAACGCTAACCGCTGCAAGAATATTTTGCAGTCTCTAGGAATATTTGTCTGCTTCCTCATAAAAACACAACCCAAGTCCTTGTGATGCTTCTATTGACAGGTGCTCTGGAATTTTTAGCTACAACCAGTAAAAAGAAGAGGGAGGAGACCACGCTTAGGCCTCGAGTGACCCATCAGGTTTCAATTATTTGGCCACAAAAGACTCAATGAGGGCATATCTTTGCCTCAAGAGAAGAGAGCCACCAGAAAACCTGTGAATTGTTTTATTAAAGTGAATGTAAACAAACAGTTCCGACCAGAGCACCATCTTCCACCAAATATGCCTAAGACTCAAAGTTAACAGCACGGCATAGACTAAAAAACATTCTAGCTCAACAGCAAGACAACTTCAACTCTGGATTCTACAACTGAAGTCCATCGAGAAACTGACGTCTACAAGCCTGTCTCGGAACCACTCGCGGGAGTGAGCATCACTGTATGCATAGGCCGGGTCTCCAGCAGCCAACCTTCAGAAGTCTTTCTATTTTCAGAAATGTATAAATTTAGCCACAAAATGGATGCTATAAGGAAAGGAGAAATCAAAATAAAACATGAAGTAGAAAAGTCCCAACAATTCAAAACACTTCCTCTTGGAGAGGGGAACTTTTTTAAAAAAAGGGAACAGGCTGTGAAGGGGGGCAACTGGCCAATGCAGTTTACTGGACCAAGATTTCTTTCCCTCACGGCCAGGCCTGGCGTAGTCCACAACCAAGCCTGTCCTGGAGCGCTCACAGCTTCTCATTGTGACACTTCTGGGGGAGCAGAGGGTGCACGTTTCTTCGTCAGAGATGTCTACTCCCGTCTGCAAAGACATTCTCGTTGGTTTGCGTTGGATACCTGCCAGTTCAAGCCAACCCTTCCATGGGAATTCCAGGTGTTTTAGCCTCCCATCAACTTTGAAAGAACAGCTCAGTTTTCTAGTTGCAGCAGGAACAGGATTGTCCAAGTGAGGGGATGGCTTTTGGGCTCACCGGATCATGTAGGCCAAGCCTGCCCCTATTCCAGCCACACTGGCAAAAGCCACCAGAACATTCCTGATGCCACCTTCTATGTCCTCTACATGGAAGAACTGAACAAATCCCTCCTGGAAAAAAGAAGCGAAGGATTAATTCTTTTTCACGTGGCTACAGCACCCGCGGCGTTCAAGATACTTTCACAATCACAAGGATGCATTTGGTTTTTATACATGTATAAAAACCTATCGGATAAATGTTGGAAATGTCATGAGCAAGTTGGTTCTTTCTTTCACACATGGTGGACCTGCAAAATATTGGTCTAAAATTCATGATGAAACAAAAAAAAATTTAAAAAAGGAATTTCTCAAAAAAGCCAGAATATTATCTCTTAGGCTTTACTGATTCAGACTTACAATTAAATGAAGAAGATAAACCAGAATTGTTTTTGCGAAAGGATGGAAACAAGAAGAAAACCCACCCTTCGAAGAGTGGATGGATAAAATTAGAGAAATAAAGGATATGGACGAACTGACTTTTTATTGAAGAAGAATATGGGAAATAAGTTTAAAAAGGACAAATTGGGATCTCTTTCAAGACTATCTGAAAGACATTAAATTTTTTAGTTAAGTTAAATATAAGAACTTAGAACAAAAGAATGGGTGTTAACCAAGAAGATGGAATGGAAGTCAATTTTTTTATTATTTTCTTTTTATTTATTTTTTATTTTTTCTCTTTTTGGACTTTTTCTCTCTTCCTGTTTTTCTAACTTTTGTATTATTACATTGTTCCCACTCTTTAGTTGTTTCTGTTTTACTTTGTAGTATATTAGTCAAATAATTCCATAAACATTTGCAAAAAAAATCACAAGGATGGACTACACACTAGATCCAACAACCATGCAGACCAAGGATATCGACATTTATGATAGACTTGAGAAGGTATAAGGAAGATCTGGCGTTTTTTTTTATCAGCTCTGTATTTTAGTGGTCACACACAGAATTTACAACACTTTCAGTAAAACCTACTGAAATGTACTTCGTCATGCAGTAAAAGATGGAAGCTGTACCAGATATTCCTATTAGGGATAACAGATTAAAAGCTAGGAAAAAATACGGACAAACTCCTTTTCCTACTGAATGCAGCAGCAAGAATCTGCTACGCAAAACTCTGGAAAAAAGGAGAGATTCCAGAAGTTAGTGATTGGATAGAAAAAATTGTAGATATTAGAATTATGGACAGATTAACATACTTAATATCAAAAAATAAGGGGACCCCAATAAGAGAAACTGATTGGACAAAAATGATGAATTATCTAAAGTAGAAAAATGGAAATACAATAATATAAAAGGAAGAGAAAATAAGATGGAAGAAAAGACAAGATAAAAGAAGAGGAAAAACTACTCAGAAGATATTTAGGAAGTCAACAAAGGAGATATATACTATCCTTCTCCTGGTTTTGATCTACTTATCTGCTGGTTTTTTTTTTCTTTTTCTCTTTTTACTGTCTTTCTGTTTTTTTGTCTTTTGTTTTTGGTTTTCTGTTTTTTGTGTGCTATTACTATCTCTATTATTATTTTGTATTTTAAAAGAAAACTTTCAATAATTATATTAAAAAAAAAATTTCCTGCTGAAATATTTTTTTTAAAAAAGATGGAAGCAGTGCACACTCATCAATTTCACAAGATGGTGACCTGAAAGTTTAATGATTTTAACCATGCTTTGCAAAACAGGTGATGATTTTGCTGAATCATATTTTTAGAGCCCAGACAATCGCCTCCCAGCACCCCCTGAGTCACCCAATTTTGAAAGAGTTACAAAAGGAAAGGACGGCTTACTTACCCAGGCATTATGCTTCAATAGCCAGTCTCTCTTGTCCGTCACCAGCACATCAGTGATAATTTCTATTAAAGTGTTGATAGCATTCTCTTGGTTTATGCTCTTCAAGTGTTTGGCAACAAAGGCACCAAAAGAGATGAGAGTCACAATGCGCCCCCAGTTTATTATGCCATCTCTGAAGACTTCTGTTGCAACTTCTGACACAGACGTCAAGTCCTCTTCTTTCTTGATTTCCAACTTTCTCAGCATTCCTGAATAAGAAGAGGATGGGGTATGTTAAGCATGTGCTCTAAAAGCCGAGATCACGGAAGAGAAAAATATTATTCTACTAACTATACACGCCGCGCATTGCTGTGGCCAACCTTCCCCTTCCTCTTTCTCTCCTTTCTTCCCTTTTTTCCCCTTCTCGTCTTCCTCTTTCCTTCCTTATCTTTTTCTTTCTTTCCTTTCTTCCTTCTCTACCTATTCTTGGACTGCAACTCCCAGCAGTCCTCCTGATCAATCTACCTACCTATCTCTATCTATTTGAAGGGTTTGCTGGGAGTTGCAATCCAGGAATAGGAAATATATACATATTGGGATGCTCTCAAATAAATCCAAAGAGAAGCAAGCTTGCAGCTTGGAAGCAGTTCATTTGGAACATCCTCCTCCCCTAAAGGGCCTGGACTAGGGGATGCTGGGAGCTGTTGTTTTCGTGCATGCGCTGTATCGTCATTTAGTTTTTGGGTTTTTTATTTATTTACGGCATTTATATGCTACCCTTCTCACCCCGAAGGGGACTCAGAGCAGCTTACAAGGTATATTTTCATACAATATATTCTATTATTAGCAAAGTACAATATCAATATTATATATTACTATATTGCACTATACCAGTGGTTCTCAACCTGTGGGTCCCCAGGTGTTTTGGCCTACAACTCCCAGAAATCCCAGCCCGTTTACCAGTTGTTAGGATTTCTGGGAATTGAAGGCCAAAACATCTGGGGACACACAGGTTGAGAACCACTGCACTATACCATTATATTGTAATATTATTAGTAATATTACAAGTAATGTAAATATATAATTATAATATTGTATTATTATTATTACTAGTATTATATAGTATTACATTATTTATTTATTTACTGTGCTTATAGACCGCTGTTCTCAGCCCAGGGGCGACTCACAGCCGTGTACAACATGTAAAAGTAAGGCACAATTTACAAAACATAATCTAACAACAACTAGCAATATAAAAAACATCACCATCAACAACATCAATAATCTCAATATCAATAATACAATTACAACAAAGTCATTCACGTCGTCTCATCGTTGAATTTATAATATAATAAATTATAATATCATTTTAAGTCCTGTCCGCTGTTTTTTGTGAAGGGTTTATGAGTGATGGTCACTCATCAGTCTGTTAAGGGTGTAGTGTCCAAATTTGGTCTCAATTCGTCCAGTGGTTTTTGAGTTATGTTAATCCCACAAACGAACATCACATTTCTATTTATATAAATTGAAACAAGACTGAAAGAAGCACCACTACCCTTTCAAACAAAACACAGGTTGGGAAATATTTAAACTGCAACCAATTTTTGTAGCAATTATTTGAAATTCTCGTATAAGCATTCTGGAGCAGTAACAATTCTGAGATGAAAAACTGTTTCTGAGACTCAGGAACAAGGAAGTTAGCATTTACTTTAGGGAGTTGCCCAAAGCAGTTTCTTTATTTGAGTCAAGCGAAGCAACTATTCATAAGGCTTGAAGCCAACAAGTAAACATTCTGTCTGGTGCAATAGGTTCCCATGGAATTAAGTGAGCCCAATCTTAAGCCTTCTCTAGAAATAAATACCACTCCTGATTCCAAGGAATACTCCTCCTAAAAAAAGTATTGCACATGTCAAAAAGCTTTTTTTAAATCATCCAAGCTGCCAAATCACCCAGCAGCTCTGCCATAACCTGTCATATTAACTAAGCAGTGTTACTGTAGGTTTTTTCAAGTTATATGGCCATGTTCTAGAGGCATTCTCTCCTGATGTTTCGCCTGCATCTATGGCAAGCATCCTCAGAGGTGGTGAGGTCTGTTGGAACTAGGAAAATTGGGTTTATATATCAGCGGAACGACCAGGGTTGGACAAAGAACTCTTGTCTGCTGGAGCTAGGTATGAATGTTTCAACTGACCACCTTGATTAGCATTTGATGCAGGCGAAACATCAGGAGAATGCCTCTAGAACAGTGGTTCTCAACCTGGGGTCCCCAGATGTTTTTGACATTCAACTCCCAGAAATCCTAACAGCTGGTAAACTGGCTGGGATTTCTGGGAGTTGTAGGTCAAAACACCTGGAGACCCACAGGTTGAGAACCACTGCTCTAGAACATAGCCATATAGCCCGAAAAAACCTACAACAACCCAGTGATTTTGGCCATGAAAGTCTTTAACAATACATTAAGCAGGGTTAACATGTCATATTTATTTATTTGTGGCATTTATATGCCGCCCTTCTCACCCCAAAAGGGACTCATATTATATTATTATTATTAGGTAAAAGTTGTCCCCTGACATTAAGTCCAGTCATGTCTGACTCTGGGGTGTGGTGCTCATCTCCATTTCTAAGCCGAAGAGCAGGCATTGTCCATAGACACCCCCAAGGTCATGTGGCCGGCGTGACTGCATGGAGCGCCATTACCTTCCCGCCTATTGATCTACTCACATTTGCATGTTTTTGAACTGCTAGGTTGGCAGAAGCTGGGGCTGACAGTGGAAGCTCACACTGCTCCCCGGAATCGAACCTGTGTCCTTTAACCCACTGCGCCACCGGGTCCCCCATTATTATTATTTAATAATTACATTATTATTATAGGCAATTACATTATTATTGTAGGCGCTCTATCTATATATTATTTATCATGTCAGGAGTGAACCAAACAGTTGTTATTGCAAGTGTGTAGAAGAGCAAACCACACACCACCTGCTGCAATGCAACATGACCCCTGCCACATGCACAATATTTATAATATTATCGTATAGTTTGATTCTCTCCCAGCATATGTTTACAGTAAGATTGGTAACTGCCTCTTCCTCCTCATGGACACCTGGCATTTTCTGTTTGATAACCACTTGTTATGAACTGAAGTATTATGTTACTTGCATGGGAGATTAAGGCATGGTCCAATGCACGAATCTCCCATGCAGATGAAGTGGTGGACTGAAATGTGTGTTAAGCACTTCCATTTTTGGTAGAGTTTTGTTAGAATTTGGAAGGATTCTATCTCTACAGCTTAAAATAACCGGTTGTTTTTGTTTTGTTTTTTACAAATTTTGGCCTGGCCCTTTAAAATTTTTAATTGCCTTGAACAGGCAGGGTTACTTTTAATATATATGTGCTATGGCGACAATTTTTATGCTTATATTTTGTTTTGTTAATCTTATGCTTATGTTGTTTTTTACTTTGTATGTTTTGTGATGTTACCTGGGAACCGCTCTGAGTCCCCTCGGGGAGATAGAGAGGTATATAAATAAAGTTATTATTATTATTATTATTATTATTATATGCTCAGCATTATTTTTTAAATTTTTAATTATTACATTTGGCCCAGCCATAGGTTTTTAAACATCATATGTGTACTGCTTATTTTTATTATGAGTTATGTACTGATTTGTATTACTGTAGTTATTGTTTTTATTGATGTATTGTGGGCTTGGCCTCATGTAAGCCGCACCGAGTCCCCTGGAGAGATGGTAGCAGGGTATAAATAAAGTATTATTATTATTATTCTCTGCTTTCAAAGGAGCCTCTGCTTCACTTGCTTAAGATTATTTTGAAGGACAGTAATCTTCTTTCTTCTGTTTAGCATCTTTCATTACTATATCACATGTATACTCTTAAGACAATCAAAAATACTTGTTGGTCCTTTTTAAGGCTTCTCTACAATTCTTCATTTAGTATTCAGGTGACATGGTAACATACTCATTTGAAGAGGGCTAGCAAGTAGAAAGCTCAGGAATGTATTTATTTCTTCATAAGCAAGCGCTAGCTAATCTTTCACCACTGCATGCAATAAGTTCCTGTCCCCTTGCCAGGCAGAGCAGGATGTGAGCAACAGCTAGGCCTAATCTACCATCAAAGGATATTTTCCGCAGGCAAAGTTTCCCCACCCCCATGATTTGGAGGACGAAGTTCAGTTTCGTTTCTGCTGATCTTGAAACTTAAAAGCAAAAGAAGTCAGAGCCAAATATCTCTGAAGAATCCTACCCTCCCACATGGATCTGCCCAAGAGAGACCTTGGGATCCCAACGCCTCATAAATACATTTAGTAGGTTGGGCCTTTGCAAGGGTAGTTCAAAAAAACAATCCCTGCCATGTTAAATTGTCAACAGAGTTTTAAAAATAGATGTTTAACAACTATATCCTTTCTACATTGAAGCGACAATATTTCTATAGGGTGTTTGTGTATCTGCTGTGTTTACTAACAACAATCAGCCTCCATTGTGGGAGGAAAGGAAGTGAACAACAATTACATAGCAAAACTCTGAACAACACCCTGGAGTGATCAACCTCTTGTAAGCCAACCAAGTCATCACAATGTTGTTGTTGGGTTTGGCATATTTTTCTGTGTGGCTATTGCTGAAACAATAAGGATTATCCCACCAGGCTCAGTGTTTTGTCTCGCTACAGGTGTTGCTTATTCCCTCACTTCCATCCTTCTTCCTACTTTTCTACCCCCCCCCCCCCTCCACCCCCAAACAGAAGTTAGGGAATAAGTTTCCTAGTTTCCTGCCCCTAATTCTTCTACCTCTTCCCTCAGGAAGTAATTCTCCTTCTCCCCCCCCCCTTTTTTTTGGAAGGAGGTAAACAAAGGTGCAGACTACCCAAGGGACATATATTCAACCCCTTAAAACTCCTCATAGCTATAAGAAATGGCTGCCATCTCTTCCCCATTCACATCAAACAATTACAAAAACACAACATTATATATAAATATAGGTATAAATATAGGAAATAAATAAATAAACATTGGAACTTTTTCAATTGAGGTCACTAAAACAGCTGAATAGAAACATCACACCACAATTTCTTTTTAAAGCATTTATTACTCAGCTTTATAGTAATGTTTCATAGTTTTGAGTATATGTGTGTGTGTGTAACAGGCAGATGATGTATGCATGAGTATATACCACACATCTATTAAATATTCAGATATTTATCTCATGTATATGTATATATATGTAAAATAAGCATATATATCTGATGTATACAT